ACGCCGCTGTGTTCCCTACCCACTAAACGACCCCTCCAGGCCACACCCCGTGCAAGTGTGGCCCATCGGACGCTCTATCCTCCCGTCGGACGTCCCTAAGGCACTCTTCGAACGGCAGTCCCCGACCCCGGCGCCCCTCAGGCCCCCCACTTGGGGGAGGGTCCCCCCATCCCCCGGGACCGATCTGCCGAAGCCATCATTGTACCTGGAGTCAAGGGCGTAGGAGGACAGCCGAGGCCCAGCTTGCGCCAAACCCTGCGACAACCCCACGGCAGGGCTCTGGAGCCGAGGACTGGAGGGCAGACCAGCTACGTCTCGCTCAGCCCTCGAGGCACCCGATCTTATGCGGTCCCAGAAGGGGGCAGCCTACACATGACTCAGCTTCGCGGGTGCGTCGAACCCGATATCCCCAATTGGATAGCCTGCGGTAAAACGGGGGGTTGATGATTCAAAACCGAGGTCATATTCGGATTTTGCAGTCTGAAATGCATAAGAATCAATGTACCACGGGTCCAGAAAAATGTATACAAATAAATTGCATGCATGACAAATATACATCAAATTGCTCATTTTCCCGGAAAAAGCCGCTTTTCCGGAAAACTGAGAGGTGATAGGGAAAAATGAGGGTCATTTTTGGACTCAACGGCTCAGAATATATCGGAATAGCCCTATCTCATACCTGATAAACAATTTGACTACAATCTGCAAGGGGTAATAGTCGTTAAAAACACCAAAAATTACCATTTTTCCGGGTAAAATAGACTTTTCCGGAAAACTGGAAGACGATAAAAAAAACGGAGGTCATATTCGGATTCAGCGCCTCAAAATACATGCGGTTCACCTCATCTCGTTTGGGAGACATATTTGTTCTTTTTTTTGGTGAACAGTGTTAGTTGTGGAAGAAGTTGAGCAGTGAAGTTAAATTACATGTAAAAAAAAATCTGAACGGTAAAGTAATATTGGCGGTAAAAATAGTCAAGCTGTAAATTCATATTAGTAGTCAAAAAAAATCAAGCAGTAAAGTCGTATTAATGGCAAAGAAAAATAAGTAGTAAAGTCGTTTGCACAGTAGAAAAAAGCAAGCGTTAGAGTCATGGTTGCGGTAGGAAAAGTGGGAGAAAGATCGGGCTTTGCCTGAAATGGCGTTGGGCGAACCTCGGGATCTTCCGGTAACATGTAATAACATGTAATAATGCATGATAGTGAATTGTGGAGAATCAGGGTGAACATTTTTAAATATTTACGATGTTCATACTTCTTTTAAAATGGTTGATATGATTTCAGGAATAATCCGTTTTGCTCCTTGAATGAATTGAAAGGTTTTGAGTTACCAGACTTCATGTTAAACAAAGTCCGAGCATGTTTAAGTTACAGCAATCCCATCAGTATTGATGACAATGAAAATCCTCTGGAGGTAAATTTTGTTTTATTGCCTATTGATTTTAGTATCCACAGGTTGAGATCAGCCGTTCAGTTTTCTCAAATTAATGCCAAAAAGAGTTCTCATCAAAGCTCTATCAAGATTCGAAGAATGAAGTAAGTCTACATTCTCAGAGTTCAAATCAAATTTACTAGGTTTAAATGGTGTGATGATAGATTTAAATTTAATTACCTACCCTGAAGTTAAACTACAATCTGACTTGATGTAATAAGTCTCAAGATTTGAGATTTAACCAAAGAGCTCAGCACATGCGCAAAGGAAACTTCTAAATACATCTAATGTTCCACCTTAATTGGAAGTTTCACCAAACAGAGATGAAGCAAAGCGTCTAAAGAACTTTGATGAAAGCTTTAAAGCCCTGCTAAAATCACAATTAGGCTTAAAAACATTTTTAAAGGAATCAATTTAAATGCGGTCCCGGTTTGATTTACTCTTTTAGAATTATTAAGTGGTCTGAAACCGACTTAAGAATATCATGGTTTACGCCAGAGTTCTACTAACTTGTAGCTGAAAATTTGTGGTATTCTATTGAGATGAAAATTGGTAGAAAGATGTAGGTAACTTGCCTGTAAAAGAATCTGTGCAAGTGAGAGGGAAAATCACAAATATCGTTTCTTAGTTTGTAACTGTTGTAGTATTCTGACACAAATTTACTCTGCTCCATACTTCATCATTAGTTGTTTAATCTTCTTTTATTTTCTGCTCCTTACTCTAGATCAATGCAACATTGAATTTAGCAATAGACTATATCACTTCTATGACACCTCCCTTCTGCTCTCTTGATTCAGGTATGAATTTCAATCTTTTTTAGGACCGAACACTTTTGATATGAATATGTTCCATACTGACCAGTGTGACTTTAATTAATGATGTTTTTGAAATATTTGTGGCTTGCACTAGAAAGCTCGTTAATAAGCACCAACTTTATAAAACTTATCATTTTCCTAGAGATAGGCTTTCCTAGGGTTCTTAAACTTAAATATTGTCGGTCCAGTTCTAGTATTTGGCTCACAAAGAATACTTCCGAAGCGGCCGCTGTCCCTGAACAGCTCAAATTTTTCCATGGAGTCTTTTGATTACATATTTCTTTAGACTCTTGGGTTTTTTTTTCCAAAGCGCCATGGAAGTAGCTTGAAAATTCTATACATTTGTGAATTAGCGGGTGCCAAATAAAATCTTATTCAGCAAGTGCACTAAAAAACAGTGATTGGCTCTCTAAGAAAATATTTCGTTGCCTCCTGTAGCAAGCCCTATGGGGCCTGGCACAGACCTTGGCAGGTACAGGAACACTGCAAGTCTCAGGTTCAAATATTTTCGAGTTGCTTATTATTTCACAACGCCATTGCATTCTCTCAAGTCCGCACCAACTTGCTTGCAGCTCTTGTTACATTTAAATACTTGAACTGAGCAATTTTTCCAATCTCCATTATGATCTCTCTCAAATTCATTAAAAACTCTTTGGTGTTGATGGTTCTTCGTTAATTTCTTATGCATGCAAGCTTCAAAAATGGAATTTTGTGAAAAGATCTTGTATTCCCCAAAGTTTTTCCCACAAGATTTTTTCCTTTTGATACAAGTCATGCATACAAAATCGCATAGTGTGTAAAATTGGAGGCGGTATTTGAAGTCCACAATTTATCACAAGTGAAGGGTCTTTCCTCTAAAATTTGGCTGTTGCACCTTTTTTTATAAATACATTTTCGAAAATAATTGGCAGCGGTGTATTATTTCACATCTGTTTCTCTCTTTACTTTTAAATGGCCACTGTAACAAGAGTTGATCGTCTTGACCATATTTGCCCTATTATCACCATTTTTTATGAATATTTATGTAACATTTTTGGAATGGTATTGTTGTTCGCTATTTTAATCGCCATGTTGCATTGGGTTCACATTGATTATCATTGGCTGTTGCCTCAAATGACATCATAAGCTTTTGGCGAATTAGGAACATTCTTTTCATGCTTTCAATTTTCAATCTCTTTTTCGGCCACAAAAACTTCTTTGAGCCTTTAAATACTCAGATATGCGTGTCTTGCTATAGTTTAGTGCAGTTACTCTTATTACCAAGATTTTTACTCATTTTTAATGATTTTTTATTTCAGCATGAATTGATTATTTATTTAAAGTGCCCCATCATTTCCTGTATGATGAAGAAGTTGATCTGAAAGTGATGATCCCTTGTAGGACTCATTAAAGTGTTGCTTATCTGGAGTAAAACTGAAAATTTATGATGAAATGTTGTCCATTAGTTCCATTTCAAGACACAATGAAACGACAGAATTTTCCGGCATGTTTGCATTTCTAAAACGCATCCCAGGTGTATATGACTGGATTCCCTCTATTTAAAGCAATTTGTTTTTCTGCAAAGTTTAAAACGTTCGGACACCCTTTTGAAATTTGATTTTTAGGCTCAATTTTTTTCGTACATTTTCAAGATAGTACATTTTTGTACATTTCAAGTGTAATTAATTGGGGTCAGAGGAGCTGGGAGATATTAAACGGATTATCCTAGTCTTAGATCCACCCCAAATAAACAGCACCTTCCCTCAGGACTCAAAGATCCTGGTTGGAATCTTCATTTGTCCAATGCAAATCTTAAAGTTAATTTTGAAATTGAAAGGAGTAGGTTAGTCCAGGCATAATAACGGCAACAACGGTTGCCTTGGGCTGGTACATGGTAGGGACGGAGGGGGGAGGGGCTCTAACTGGAAGCGCAAGGATTACCACTTGTGTGGTATTTGAAGTAGTAAAAAAAAAAAAATAATGCAAAATTTCAATGAAAAAATTGCTACCCAGTCAATTTTAGGTTTTCTGGCTTCAGCTTAGGTCCCCTGATGTCTGGGTAAACAGTCCCCAAAATTTGAAGGTGAGCTTGCCAATTTAGAGAAGGAAAAGGGCCCATAATGGCCCAAAAAATCGGCCGGTCGGTCGGCTTTCGGTGGGCCTCTCAAGTAGCGCTACGGGGTAAAAGCGAATTTTTGGAAGTATCTGCAATTTTTGAACTCAGCGACTCCAAGAATACCTAAAAATGTATTTTGCACAGTTTGGACATAAAATCTGATTCATTAACACCCAAATCCGGCTTTGGAACCATATTTTGGCGCTCGAAAATCGGTCGGCGCAAGTTGAGCAGAAACTTCAATAGCCCATAGCTCCGGAACCGTTCGGTTCCTCAGCTTTCATTACCACTCGTTGGATGCGGAAAAAGACAAACAATTTAAAAAACTGGTTTTGGTTCAAATACAAAAATGTGTTCTTTCAGTTTAGACTGTTTTAAAGAAATTGTTCTTGCTCCAAAACCGAAAAAAATCACATAAGTTAACTTTAATATGTAATTTTGGGATTTTGACCTTTAGAATCTTTAAGTATGCAATTTTAGACGATTTTTTGTCCAAACCGGGCCTCAATATCTTTTTTCGTTCGATAGATATCGAGGTTCACAGGTTTTGACTTCCACCCCCCCCCCTAGCGCCCCCCCCCAAAATTTTTTGGGGGTCTGAAAATTTGGAAAGAAGCGCTCCAGTATTAGTAACTGATACAGACGAAGTTTGAATAAGTTTTAGGGGGGGGGCAAAAAAAGTCGTTTTTGCATACGGCTCTTTAAGCTTTAATTGACGCCTGGGAGTTCAAATTGACCCACTCAATACCTAAAAGTTTTCCCCTGAAGAGGGGGCCCGTGTCCTCTCCACAAATTGCTCATTGGTCGCATAACTGACGTAAATCCTGCGGAGAAGGATGGTAAATCCGAAATTAATGGTCTCAGAGCTCCCCTGACCTCCCTTCAAAAGTTTGGGGGAAAATTCGGATTCCTTGATATCAGTTCACTAGTATACCATCCTTTTCCGCAAGATTTACGTCAGTTTTGCGACCAATGAGCAATTTGTGGACGAGACACTGGTCCCCTCGTCAGGGGGAAACTTTTGTGCATTTTGCACTTTTGTGTCAATTTGAACTCCCAGGCGTCACTAAAGTTTAAATTTATTGCCTTTTTCAGTTTGGATTAATTTACGATTCGGAAGGGAACTCCGACTTGAAATTGTGCTCCCATCCCCCCCACTATGGTCTGAGAGCGCCAAATTGTGGCCAAAAATCCGATTTTTGAAAGTGGGAAAATCTGGCAACCGAGCATGTAGCCCTAATCTACATCCTTTGGAAAGTGTGAAATGACCTATCAAATTTTATTTAAGTGTTTATAAGGTCAGATATATGGTGGCAAACTTCACATACTCTGAGGTAACTAAGCAAATGTGAGAATTCGAGGTGCACGTCATCACATATTGCCTTGTGTTGTTTTGTCAAAAGTCGGCGTAGATCCCCGATCAAATATGGAACAAATAGCTCAAAGTAAGCACTTTTTAATGGTGTAATCGTTTTTAATATTAAGATTAATTTTGTGGCCATTACAAGACTCCAAAGTTTTGCCTGAAAATGATCCAAAAATGACCTTGACCTCAACTTTTCTTTATCGCGGTTTTTCACGGATTCATTCTTATTGGTGCAGAAATGTAGGTCATATATTCCTCTAACAGACTATAATAGGGTTTTTTGCGTATTTTTGCGTCTGGGGCCTTTTTTGGTCCTTTCAGTGCAGCGGTTTTGTGATTTTCTGAGTAATCCTATTTCGCTGTGCAACAAGATAAGGGAGATGAGGCAACGTCAACGGTGGGCACAGGGCGAATCTGATGTAATTTTGGCTGCTGAATCCGAAAATGATGCCCATTTTCTTCCAGTAGTTGCCAGTTTTCCGGAAAATTGGATTTTTTGGCGGGAAAACACATTTTCAAGCAAAATTATATTTTCTCCAGAAGAATGATGATAACTGAATGAAACGAAGGTCATTTTTTTCATTTTTGAGCTTTCACATGTAGACGCATTTACCAACTCGCCTTCCTGTGGTGTAATGGTTGTAGTGCTAGCCCCATGATCAGGAGATCCCGAGTTTGACTCTCACCCAGGGAACTCCAGCTTGATGATCGCAAGCCATATTACTGGGAGCTTATTGCTAAGAAGGGACTGATGGGGAAAGGAATTCAAGCACGGATATTAGATCTCAGTAGCAATTTATTTTAGTTCCGCTTTCTTGTATTTATTTTATGAAATTGTTCAAGTTTATCATTCCATCTAAAATATTTATAATAACATTTATAACCATAAAAATCAGCGCATAATGGTTGAACTGCTTCCAAGAAATATCAAAATATCAAGGCTGTTAATTTTTAGGTATTCTAAAGTATGCCCCGAAACTTTTCGTAGCAGGGTCTGGTACGATCAAAGAGTTAGATATTTTTTTTAAAAAAAAACCCCACAGAAATGAACATATTTGAGGGGAAGTATCTGCTCAGGGAGGGGGCACTCTATACCTTGACCTTAACCCTCCTTCACTCCTCTTCTCTGCTTCCTCTAGGTAGGTATGCATCTGAATGTCTTGCTAACTCGAATACCACCATACTGAGTGTATATATTATGCTCTAGTTAGGACTAATAGACAAAAAAATAAAATTTAAATTTATTCAAATACGATGAATTCTTATCTTTTTCTGGGAAAAATACTGATTTTTAAGCCTTTTGCTCTCGTAAATGCGACATTTTTGCAAAACTGAGCCAGCAAAGTGTAGTCTGGCGACCTTCAAACGACTAAACTGTCGTTTAACATGGCATCCAAATCAGGGTTAGAATTTTTGTGTACATTTTGAGTTTTTAGGGTCTGCCGCCATCTTGGATTTCAGAATTTTGTGAAACTAAGGTCAAATTTGAATTTAGCGAGCCAAAAAACATATGTATCTTAA